TTTCAGTTCAAGCATTTGAATCTTTTACTTCACAAGAACAACGTAGATGTGTTCAACTGTCACTTTCAAGTTTGTGGAGCAACCAAGCATTTTTTGATCTCCGCATTTGAAAGCTCCAATTCCTATACTACACACATCCTACTGCTCCACCAGAAATAGTTCACTTTGCTCAGAAGAAAAGATTGAGAATTGCTGATCCTCCGGATGACGCTTTCACTGCCCATAGAAATACTTATTGGTGGTGATCATTATTGGCGCAAATTGTTTCCACAGAAGCTCCAATCAAGCTTTTCAGAATCTTTTGTTATGGTACCGTCAGTGTTTGGATGGGTTCTTAGTGGAACAAGAACACATACTACAATCGCTGAGAAGACTTCTGTCCATCAAGTTTGTGTGCAAGTTAAAACTGATTGTTTAAATGATCAGGTACGTCGCTTCTGGGAATTAGACTCCATAGGGATACAAGATGCGCAGAAACGAAGAATGACTACTCGCGATGAAGAAATTTTATCAGAATTTCACAAAACTTACAACACTGAAGACAATCGAAGAATTGTGTCTCTGCCTAGAAAACCATTGGTCACACCTTTGCCTACAAACAAAATTATAGCGGAAAACAGATTTTATTCTCTTCAAAAAAGACTTGCATCTAGTGATGTGTTAAAGACACAATATGACAAATGCATGCTGAATTACATTGAACAAAAGCATGTTGAAGTTTGTTCCATAGATGAATCCAATGAGAAGCCAGTATATTACCTTCCTCATCATGCTGTAACGAAAGAAAACGCAATCTGAAACCAAGTGGAGAATTGTGTTTGACGCTTCCTCGCATGCTCCACAGAAATGCTCCAGGAATGATTTCACTGAACGATACCTTGGAAGCTGGCCCGAATCTTCTTCCTGAAATCTATTGGTTGTCTACTAAGATTTCGATTGCATGAATTCGCTGTTACATGTGATGGTAAGCAAGCTTTTTTACAGTTGTCACTACATAAAAGAAGATAGGGACGTCACAAAATTTTTCTGGTACAAATTAAAATCTGATTCATCTCAACCTACTACTTTTACAGATGAAATAACTGTTTACAGATTTACTCGTTTACCATTTGGCCTTACTTGCAGTCCGTTTTTACTCTGTGCTGCGACACGAGAATTGGCTGCAAAACATATCGCAGAATTTCCAATTGCTGCACCAATGATAGATAAACATCTCTATATGGATGACTTTCTTGCTAGTATGGAAACTGAATCTCACGCATTATAATGCTATATCACGAGATCAAGAATTTAATGGCTCTAATGAAATTGCCTATGGAAAAATGGGCTACAAACTCTTTGAAACTCAAAGATGTACTACAAAACACATGAAGAATCTCACAAAACGGAAACAACTGTCTTAGGTATTGGCTGGAATACAACTTCTGATACTTTGAAGCATGCATTCAAGACTTCCCTCTGTGTTTCTACAGACAAACCACTTACACAAAGATGGATGGTTACTCCGCTGCATTGCTAGTTTTTATGATCCCTTAGGACCTTTTTTTACCGCCTTTTTTCACCGTTTACTATTCTTGGGAAAATCTTATTCCAAGATACATGGATTATTGGAATCAAGTAGGATACTATATCCTCTGGCCAAGGCACAACAGTTTTATGCCTACCACAACATCAAATTGAAATTCATCGCCCCTCGAGCGGCTTGTTGGGGAGGATGGTGGGAAAGAATGATAGGCTCAATTAAGCGATGCCTTCGGAACACATTAGGTAAGGCTCTTTTGGATGACGCTTGTTTGATCACTGTATTATGTGATATTGAAGCCGCTCTTAACAGTAGACCGATTGTCCACGAATACGGAATAAAAGATGACTCTGAGGAAGCTTTAAAACCCTCGACTTCCTCATAGGAAAGAAATTAACTACTATTCCTTCCCGCCTCACAAATCCTGAAACAAATTTAAATCATTAGTGGAAAAACCGTCAACATTTGATGGACTCCTTTTGGAAAAGATGGCAAAAGGAATATTTGATGGACTTTCGTACATTTCATGAAGTGCGGAATTCATATGAAACAAATAAAATACGGAAAGGGGACACTGTTCTACTACAAGACGATGTTAGACCTCGCCACACCTGGAAAAAGGCCCGTGTTGAGGAGCTAATCCTTGGCCGCGACAAAAAAGTCCGTACTTGTGTTCTGCGCACCAATGGACATACCATTATCCGACCTGTGCAGCTGGTCATCCCCCTGGAGATTGACCCCAGGGTGGGGAGGATGTTGCGGCAAAGCCAGCGAACTATTAAAAATAACATTACCCTTTTTGTGAATGGCATCACTTAGTTTTGTATTTATAAATGTCTTTTGCTTGTTCTATACTTTATGTTTATGTTAGGAAATAAATAAGTATACTACTATCTCCTAATAGAGGCGTCGATTCTGTTCCTTAAATTTTACCCTTAGAAAATCAGAAAAAATGATGGTAGTGCGGTAGAATTTGAGTTGGTCATCTCTGGCGCTACAGCTAGATTAGACACCCCTTCAACACCCAAAAAATGACGAAATAACTTTTGAGTTTGTCAGGACTTGTGTTTCTCTTTATTTGCTTTGAAAACATGATGTGTCCTGAATAGGAACAGGGAGCTTACTCAAGCTATGTTCAAGATTTTGTGTGTAACAGACGACACAAGCAGAAAGGGTATACGAAACCTCCTTTATTTATATCCTTTATTTTCTAATACTTTTACAAGTATTCCCGAACTTCGGGATACAGAGAGCAAGTACTTGTGGTCTGAACGTAAGAATATAAAACTGCTAACTAAAACTCTCACTAAAGCTAACTTTGAATTAGTATACAAATGCCTAGCACTAAGACTGGCCTTTATTTAAAAGGGTACGTATGTAGTACGCCGAGCTGCTGAAACTACAATACGTTTTCAAATATCAAGAGGGCTAAACCTCTGGCCTTAAAGGCAACCAGCAACCGAATGAAAACTCGTAAAGCTGCAGTGGCAAACGGCTTGCTTCCTAAATATCTTTCTCTCTTCCCTAATTCTTGGCAAAAAGCCACAACTTAAATACTTGGGCGTTAGCAAGACAATTTACATAAACAAGTTAAAGCATTTAATTCTGGCCGGAAGTAGAAAATAAGAAGTGATAGTACAGTTTTAAAATAAAATAAAAGTTAGTAAAGCTTAGGATCTTTACAAGTTGACAAGAGTGATTTACACTACTTAAAGTTTTGAAGACAGTGTGGCACTTTCCATGATGAGAATCTCTGTGGGCTTGGTGTAACATTGTGCTCTGATGGCACACACACACACAAAATAGTGAAAATTTTCTGAATACGGGGCACCAGAGCAACAAAAGGGACTGTATCGGCTGTTACTCTATGGCAAAGAAAACCACGATCGTGCTCACAGAGAGTCAATAGATTTCCCGGCCATGCTTATGAAAAACAAAGGATTTAATGTTCAGAGTACTTAATTATTACTCAAGAGAAAGCAAACAAAGTACTTAGAAGAATATTAGCCTTGATTTCGCTCTTCTAAATTATTTTTCAAATTTTTAGGTCGTTTTGGACATGAGCTGGTTTCTATAACTGGTGATAAGAATTCAGTTTAAACCTCAACTCTTGAGTTCAGTCCTCTTTTAATATCTTACGACGTCTAAGAACGTCTAAGAACGTCTAAGAATCATATATATCCGAACTGTCCGTAATTTTAATGTTTTGGAGTGAAGTACTAGCTGGGAAACTGGTTATACAGAAAACTATGACGCCCACTGGAAATGCTTGTTGAAACTATCCTTTTAATTAAGTATCCTCTTCTAACCGCTGCGGTTAGTAGTAGTAGTAGTAGTAGTAGTAACGGAGGACGTGGGCACCATCCCATAATTACCACGATTAACCATTACGGTTAATCGGTTCTACCCACGTCCGCCCTTATCTAGTATTTATTAATAAATCAAAGATTTTTACATTGCCATATAGTGTGCCATATAGTGCCATATAAAAAATAAATAAAAATAAAAATCTTAAAGTAGTACTTTATAGTCCTTCATGAAGTGTATCTTTGTATGTAATTCTTTATAAAATGTCTAAATTTGTCCTTAGTAAAAAAACGTTTGAAACTTATTCCCTCGTTCTTATTCAAGAAGTTCTTCTCTTTCGTTCTTCTTCTTTTCTTCGTTCTTCTTCTTTTCTTCGTTCTTCTCTTTCCTTTAATATTCCTTTCATTTAATCTTCTTTAAATCTTCCTTTCTTCTATCTTAATTTCTTTCCTCCATTTTACATGTACTTTCTTCCTATATATCTTTTATCTTTTTACTTAATATAGCGAATAAGAAATCCATCTTTATGAACTACTTGTTAACATATTCTTTCCATCTTCTACAGAAAAATTTCCTTTTCTTTTTAAAACCTTTATTTGTAATTTTAAACCTTTTCCCTTTAAATCTTTTTCCTTTCAAGCCGCCTTCTTCTGCCTTTCCTTTGAAACCTTTATTTGTAATTTTATGCCTTTTCCCTTTAAAATCGTTTTCCTTTGAAGCCTTCTTCCGCTGCCTTTCCATAAACGATTAAGTTGTCCTTCATTAGCTATATCATCTTGAATACTATTCCTTATTTCCTAAATCTTTAGTTATCCTTTTACTATGGAGTATCTTCATCTATATCTCAATTCCTTAAGCTTCTTCTACTCAACAGCTTCTAACCGCTGTGGTTAGGGAGGGGAAGAAAGAACAACTTGTTCTTCGGTTAAGAAATACAGAAAAACCGAATTAATTCGGGTTTTCAGCTTTAAACCGAATTAGTTCAGTAAACTTAACTAATTCGGTTTAAAGCTGAATTGGCCAAATGAGGAGAATAAGTTAGCACAAAAATTATCAAGGTAGCACGGAAATTGCTGAATATATTATAATACAAATTATCCTTTTCCCATAAAATGCTTAAACACTGCAATATAATATAATTAAATATTTATTATTTACTTTCTGTTTATAGAAAATAAGGGTTGCATAAAATGTGATCACATTCCTCCGCCATTTCTGCGTTTCAATTACAGCACAGAAGATGGTGACTATGACAAGAAATCTAATCTTGCGACGTATCAAACGGTAATTTTTAATTATATGTCTAAGATATTTGTTTTGTATCTAGTTTCATGTAAGATTCATAAAGTTGAGTATTTAGCCCTTTTTATAACTTTAATTAATTTCTAATTTTGAGCCTGTCTAATTAAGATCTTTAATTAAGACACAATAACACGCCGAATAAATACTAATTCAGAAGTCAAACAACAAAAATCAGCGTTATATTTACAAAATTTTCACAGGACTAGTTTCGATGGTTTTACCGAACCACCATCTTCAGCTGCAAAACCGCAAATGAACAAGATAGGAAATAATGATTAGATAAGATAAGAAAGCATGGACAAGAATAAGCAAGTGGCGCCATCTGTTGGCGAAAATTTTGTAAAGTCCTGTGAAAATTTTGTAAATATAACGCTGATTTTTGTTGTTTGACTTCTGAATTAAGATCTTTAATACTTACTTTTCAACGTAATTGATACTTATTTACCTTATGAAAAATGAATTGTTGGAATGCATACCGTTTTGTTTGTCTAAAAATCGGAAACTTCAGGCATTCTGTACTTAACTATATAAATTATCAACATAAATAGTTGCTTAGGAAAAATTAGTTTGGAGTAAGACCTCAGATGTGTTGCTTCATAGTTTGGAAGGAAATTAAAAATGCAGATTTCAATTTACATAGTGTGTTATTTTTCTATACAGCGTAAAGCTGCGAATTCTATTCTTTATAAATGCCATTTTGTTATCAGCCTATGTTCTATGCGTTTGTGTAGGTATGTAGAGGTGCAGCGTATGCGGAGTTCTGGGATATTTTTTCAGTAAAAGAGAGCTTATAATACACTGAATAGAACTGCATGCAAACATGGACTGATTTTTTGTAAGAAAAGAATGCTACAGAGAATTCTTTTTTAATAAAAATCCATCTACCAGTTAGTATTTTTTACATATTTATTATTATTGCATTTCATATTTATTATTATTATTATTTAATGCATTATGAAAGGAAAATAACATTTCTTTTAAAATATGTTCTTTGTGAAAATGCAAGAGTAGTAACAGTAAAATTATTTATTCTTTCAGACGACTAATGAATTTCATGGACGGAATACGTTGTTGTATTGCCAAGGATTAGATAAAAGGTGCAATATGGAGACGCCCCGATTTTTGGAAGCATTTCCTATGCACTGTAGAAGTATTCAAAGGTTATAAAGAAGAACTTAGTTAATGACGCAAAATTTAGAAAAAAAATTAATGACCGAAAATTGTTTTACTTTAAATTTAACTCATTAAAGATACTTTTAAAAAGCTTTAAAAAAGTTAAAAAATCCTTTATGACTGATTAAAAAAATAATTATGTAAGGTATAAATTTATGAAAACTTTTAATTGATTAAAACTACAAAATAAATTAATTGATTCTGGAAACCGAAGATTAGAATAAATCATATTGCAATATCACAAATCTTTTCTTTTTTCTTTGCTTTCGCCGACATTTAAACGTCCCTTTCGAAACAAGTGGTGAACAGTTTGAAACATAATATTAGAATATAACCATTTACAAATTTCTTAATTAGATTTTAATTTATTGCTTGTACTTTTCATCGCTTCAGCTTAGTACTTCGAACAATAAAATTCAGTTTTATTTTTCGTAAATCACTACGAATAATGTATATTAGCATGCGAATAATGAATGAATGGTGTCACTGAATGGTGTCAATATGAAATTGCTTTAAGTTTAATACATTGCGAGTTAAAATATATAATTAAAAGTTAACAGAGCGAAATTTATGATACAACTGCTTTCTGAATCATTTTTTCTTTCATGGATGTTGTAATTGGAATTTTATTTTAATAATTTAGGTTTATTTATTCTCTGACAGGAGAGTGATTTTAATTATAATCCATTTCTGCAATTAAACCAAAGAGAAAATGTAGGAAAAACAAAATATGTTTTGAGTATTACGTTTTCAAATCTTAATTCGATGAATTAAATAGAATAATATACCTTTAACCATGTTTCAAATATTTCAAATATTTTTTCTACAGTTAAAGGTTTTCATTTAAATTAAGTTTCTCATAATTAGGTAATTAAGGTTGAATAATAACTTGGCATTTTTTGCTAATTTAATTAAGATATTATCTAAGAAAATTTGGGTTTTTACAAATGAATCAACGAGATTACAAAAAATCATGGATCTTTCTTTCGAAATTTTACAGAAGGGTATAAAAACTTTTAAATTCGTAACTATTTAATACTAACCCAACTTAATCATCAGCGCACTCCAAAAAGGGGAGAACTGAAGTCAAAGAACTCAACCCTTTCCTCACTTATCGACAAGAAATTGCGTACATATGAAAAAGAAAAGCATTTACCGAATGCGACTTAAAATGCTTTGTACTTAGCATCATGAACAATTAAATACGTTGTTACGAAAATAAAAAATGATGAAGTAGAATATTTAGGGCTTTGTTGAAATTATTTTTTTCAGTTAGCGTGCATATTATCTCCGCTTTCAACAGCGAATAGCTTTAAAAAATCTTGGTAAAAATGAAGACATACTTGTTCTGAGTAGGAAATTATTTGTCTGATATTCTGAATTAAATTTTTTCATTTGCATCTTTCAACAGGCGTTCACAGCGAACAATGCATTGGTAAGTAAGGCGTAGAAAAGTCAAATCGTAGTGTCATTTATATCTGGCTGACAACGTTTTGAAAAGAATGTAAAACTCTTTTTCATTTCTTTGAACATGTGCTTTGAAAGCAATTAGGGCCATCTAGTATACCGCATTCGTTCTTTTCTATGGCTTTTTTTTTGACAGATATAAAGTATGCAAATAGTTTTAAAGAATTATCGCATTCTCCTCTACGTGCTCGTTTGATGCAAGTACTTAGAGCATTCATCTAGCGAAGAGGAAGATCTGCAGTTCGAATCTTGGATAGAGCACTGCTGATTCTTCTTGTTCCACGAATTCGAAAAATCTAATAATCTATACAGTGACCTCGAACAGGATGGACGATAAGTCATCACAATCTGTATTTGGTCGAGTAGAACTCGCGTCTCTTACCAGTCGCTCTTTTAGGGAAAATTTGAGGAATTATCTCATTCTCCTCTACCACCATGCATGATTTCAGCACATTTAGGAAGCAATTGAAGCTCATGTGGTTTGAATCCTGCAAAGACAGATTTTATTTTCTGTGTTTCTTAGATTGAAATGTCTAATGGTCTTCATACTGCTGCCTGAAGTAATTTTGCACTATATTTCTCCTCCATCTAGATTTCCATCCCGATTGGGCTGCTGCCCATTACCATTACCATGTGAATGCACTGAATGCCTTGGATAACTGATGTATCCGGTGCGATAGATTGATCATGGAAGAATAATTAGCTGGTCGGCCTGCTCACCCGATCGATAATGTCTGGACGTTTTGCTCTGGGGTCACATGAAGAGTTTCATCTGCAATGGAAGTCCGTCCCATCGCTTCCGATGAAGCTGGATGTACGGCCAGATATCTGCAGTTGCTGGAATTTTTAGTACTAATTAGCTTTAATAAATCAAATGTATTTATATTAAATTTATATTTCATTAGAGGAATCTACCTTAGATTAATATATTTAGATGAAATAAAGTAATGAAACAATGCAAAATAAGTCTTATGCGGACTTCAGATTCTTGAAAGGGCAGATTTAGTCTCTTTTCATTGTAAAAGTAACGCTGATGAACTATGAAAAAAATGCTAAAACGAAGACGTCTAAAAGCGGTCATATCATGACGTTTCAGCGACATCGACCAATTGCCAAGATGTAACGGCAAATATTTTGCGTCTTAGCAACGTTGTAAAGACGTCGTAAACGTTACCACGACCACTTTGCAACCTCTCGGAGCAGTTTGCAACGTCGTGTGCTACTTGGGTTACCGAAATCATTGTTTTATTATTACACTGGTTTGTCTTAGTTGTAACTATTGCTTTCTGTCCAGGGATTGTGCTATTCGGGACGTGTAGTTCTTGGGAAGGGGCCAGTGTTGTGAATTTTGTACACAGATATACGATTTTAGTGCAGTTCTGTGGGAAAAATGTTTTACTTTTCTGTATAATATAACATAAAAAAATTTAGAGATAGAAGCTATGCGATAAAAGTAAAAATTAAGCGGTAAATCCATTTAACATTGAGTAAATGAGTATCTAGGTAATTTGGCGAGATATCGCCAAGCTAGTAACAATTTTGGCGAATAATTTGTGTCGCCAAATTTTTCGAGATATCGCCAAGAGTCCCCAAAATTGGCGATATTTTAGACCGGTCCCTGTATCACCGTAATAGGTATTATAATTGAATAAATGTAGTTGATCACCATATCAGCTATAACCGTAATTCGACCTTCATACTGCCTTCCAGTAATTTCAAAAAGCAGAAACTATTATAAATATCTCGACAGCCGGGTGAAAATTATATAAAGCTGAAGAGAGCATCTGCAGTCAGTAGTTGTTGCTGCTGTTAGCTGTTAACTCGGCGAAAGTTCTGAGTATTGGGATATCTCCGGGTAGCTTTCTCTTTAGCTGCATTTTGCATAGCGTTATATTTAACGTTAATAGTAGTTTGAAGTGTTAACTTCTGATTGTACTCTGTAATACTGTGAAGAGTTGTGGGACTATCTTTGTGGATTGTTCTAGATCCCTGATTTTTCTCATTTGATGAAATAAATCTTATCATCGGAGCTGTGTGCATTCAATCTGTTAGGCTGTGTTCAGACGGCGGCGTAAAGGGCATAGAGGCGTAGTCATAAGGGGATAAAATACGGGAATTCCGTTCTCACTTGCGAGAACGGTGTGTAAGCCGTGGCCAATGAGAGAAGCTAAATTTGCGCATGCGTGGATGTGTCTACAACTTTCCCGCGCTGTTCTTCTGCTCGATTCATTTCCCGCGTTCGCTCTGCTTGTTTTGTGACAGCGAAATCTTCTGTTGAACGCCGCTTCGTTTTAGCTTCGCTCTGATTGGTCGACGCTTATCCCAAGCTCGGCGTAAAATTGAAAACTTTGAACTCTATGCCACGAGCCCTAAACCAGATTTTGTGACGTTGCACAGACTGGTTGCCTTGGCAACGGAGCTCGGCTTTAAACTCTTTACGCCACCGTCTGAACAAAGCTTTACGAACCTATATGCATGAACGCAACAGCATAATATTGGGCCATACAAGTTAAAAAGATAACGCAGGCAATTCAGAAAAGCCTAATAACTCGATATTTGAAAGGAAACAAGACATTACTTTTAAGTTGTTATAGCAGCAAGAATTCATGAAAGGCAAATAGTATAGGATGTACTCAAAGCTCCTGAACAACTTTAGCCTGTTAGTGTGAGCACATTGTAAAATGCAGCGCTGTAAAGTTTTGCACATCGTAGTTTTATGAAAGTTTATCGAAATCTTTTTGCTCTAAATTCGTTTCAGCTTATGTATTTATAATGTGAGGTTTTGGGGACCCAAATATCCTCATGTCGCCAGAAATTCAACGAATGCCAGAAAATGTGGCATGTTGTGTGACAAGAAGTTAGGACCATTTGTCTCCAAACAAAAACCATTAAGAGATACAATTTTTTATCTTAATGTACTGATTAATTAAATGTGTTTACATTTGGAGGACCGTCAATAAGAGGTCATTTGCGGCATGTCGAAAAGCATTAACGATTAAAATAAAGGAAAATTTGTGATGTTTCAGAGTGTTCAAAGTGTTCAAATTCAAAAGTGTTCAGATTTTAGCGAAGTTCTATTGCTTTTAAATATTTTAGTTTGTTATCTATTAACAGACTAGCAGCTTCGCTGCCAGCTTTCGTCTGGCTTTTAAATGTACCGGAAAAATGGCTGAAGGGAACTAAATTTAAAAACTGCGTATTTTACTCTGCAGAACAACTTCATTAAAAAAAGTTATTACGTATAACAAAATTACAATGAAATAAGCAATATCCCTTAATACAAATATTAATTATCCTACTAAATAAATTAACCAACTTCCCTTTGCAAAGTCTTAAGAACTCAAATGGTATAAAGTAGGTTAAGAACTTTGTTTCTTAAAAAAACCACTCAAAACCTTTCAATATCTTAGAAACTGTGAAATGAGCAATAAATAACATAAAAGAATACAAAAAACAAAAAATTCTGAAAAGCAAAATATAATTAATGATATTTTATCTTATATTTTCAAGAGGAAAAAATTACAATGAAGTAACGTATATTCCTTAATACAAATATTAATTATCCTAATAAAAAATTAACTAACTTTCCGTTGAAGAAAAAAAATCATGCAAAACTTTTCAATATCTTA